TTTTTTTTTTTACCAACATTTATTAGCCCATTTTCAAAAATACTAATCAGATTTAAATTTTAACAACACAATCGTAATGACTGTGTTCTTCTACAGGATGGCGGCGGCCAATGTGGTTCTGGCCCACACAGAGTTCAGTCAAACAGTATGTTCTCCCTCATCACGGTCGACGACGTTCCTGACCTTGACCCAGTTTTCTTGAACATTCCTCCTGCACTGAAAGTTGAAGAGAATTCACGCATTGTGAGTGTTGTTTTTTTTTTTTATTACCTTTTTATTATCTTTTAATGAATGCTCTTGTAATGGTTTGGCTGTCCATCATATTGACAAGGCTACTAAAGCAGACCTGTTGGGTCAGCTTGTTTGGATTTGTTGGTGTAGATTCTCCATCTTCCAGTTCATGACAATTAGTTAAATAAAATGTTTCACCTCTCATCTCCTCAGCCTCTACAGCTTTGATCTTAGGAATTCCATATTTAATTTAGTGCATTTTATATAATGATGTTACTTGTTTGAAAGTGTGAATGGTTGTGAAATGGTTTGGGAGGAAGAGATAAATGATAACACCCTGTCTATYAAATACTGTTTTTTTTCTTTTACAACTTCTCTCTTTTCTCAACACATTTTTTTCCCTGTGTGTGGAGAACATTGTGTTCAAAAGTGTGTTTTTTTAATGTAAGGGAATAGTTAGCAGACTTACTTTTGCTCAGCATTAAACGTGACACACATGAAACCTACTTTGGCTTGATGCTGTTCCTCAAACTGTTTGAAGGAGCTCACACCTTTTATTTCAGACAGGTGCATTAAATTAGATCTGTCAAGTGTCGACGTACAATAAACCAATAGGAAAACAGAAATAAACAACAAWTGAGAGCACTAAAATACAAAGAACATTAATGATGTCAACAGGAATAGTTGTAGTCTTGACCTGAAAAGTTGGCTCACCTGTGTTGTGCTGCATGTTTCAATCTTACTGAAAGAATTTTATCAACAAATAAACCTGGAACGACTGACCATACAATACCATACCATWTACTGTACCGTACTGTACCATACCATCACAGAACCAAATTATTATTCAGTACAATAAATACGACAAAACCACAGGTTTTAAAAATCCGTTTCGCTCTTTTTTTCAGGACCTTGCTGTGTATACAGTGATCGCAATCGACCAGGACGAAGGAGTCAATGATGATATAATCTATTCTATTCAAGGTAAGTTGAAAAAAAACAACCTTATTTTACTGTTGTGAGTAAAAATAAACAGAAGAATAAAGAAAGTAGTTATTCAATTATTATTATTTATTTTTTACAGATTCCAGACCACCTAACTTATTTAAAATCTCAGTCAATGACGGGGTCATATCTGTATCATCAGAGATTGACAGAGAAGTTACTGGTGACACTGTAACCCTCACTCTGAAGGTAAAAAAACAGGAAAGATTATGATAATTTCCGGTCTTTGGTTATTTGGCTTTTTATTTTATTTAACCTTTATTTCAATAGGCAAAACATTAAGAACAGTTTCTTATTTACAATGTTGGCTTGAAACCGAACAATTTTTGCTGTTACATCCACTTTGTACAATTCATCTGAACCACATCATGTCAACATAGGTTGTCTAAAACCATGCTTTTAAAAGTGGGGGCTGAAGTTGCTAGAGGGAAAAAAAGAAAAATGCTATAAAAATAAATGTCATCAAATTAATATTTTAAATTATTAACAAAGGGGTGGTGGTCCCTCTAATTAAAAAGGGCGACCGCAGAGTGTGTTCCAACTATAGTGGGATCACTCTTCTGAGCCTCCCTGGTAAGGTCTATTCGGGGGTTCTGGAGAGGAGGGTCCGTCAGATAGTTGAATCTCAGGTTCAGGAAGAGCAGTGTGGTTTTCGTCCTGGTCGTGGAACAGCGGACCAGCTCTACACCCTCAGCAGGGTCCTGGAGGGTGCATGGGAGTTCACCCAACCAGTCTACATGTGTTTTGTGGACTTGGAGAAGGCGTTCGACCGTGTCCCTTGGGGACTCCTGTGGGGGGTACTCCGGGAGTATGGGGTACCAGGCCTGTTGATACGGGCTGTTAGGTCCCTGTATGAACGGTGCCAGAGCTTGGTCCGCATTGCCGGTAGTAAGTCAAACTCGTTTCCGGTGAGAGTTGGACTCTGCCAAGGTTGCTCTTTGTCACCAATTCTGTTGATAACTTTTACGGACAGAATTTCTAGGCGCTGCCTTTTTGGTGACATTAGGATCACATCTCTGCGCTTTGCAGATGATGTGGTCCTATTGGCTTCATCAGATTGTGATTTCCAGCTCTCACTGGAGCGGTTCACAGCCGAGAGTGAAGTGGCCGGGATGAGGATCAATGCCTCCAAATCCAAGATCATGGTCTTTAGCCAGAAAAGGGTAATGTGCCGGGTCAGGGAGGAGGTCCTGCCCCAAGTGGAGGAGTTTAAGTATCTCGGGGTCTTGTTCACGAATGAGGGAAGAATGGAGCGGGGGATCAACAGGCGGATTGATGCTGCATCTGCAGTGATGCGGGTGCTGTACCGGTCTGTCATGGTGAGGCGGGAGCTGAGCCAGAAGACAAAGTTCTTGATTTACTGATCGGTCTATGTTCCTACCCTCATCTATGGTCACGAGCTTTGGGTAGTGACCGAAAGAACGAGATCGCGGATACAAGCAGCTGAAATGAGTTTCCTCTGCAGGGTGTCTGGGCTTTCCCTTATAGGTGAGAAGTTCAGTCATCCAGGAGGGACTAAGAGTAGAGCCGCTGCTCCTCCACATTGAGAGGAACCAGTTGAGGTGGCTCGGGCACCTGGTTAGGATGCCTCCTGGATGCCTCCCTGGTGAGGTGTTCTGGGCACGTCCCACTGGGAGGASACCCAGAGGAAGACCCAGGACACGCTGGAGGGACTTTGTTTCTCAGCTGGCCTGGGAACGCTTTGGGATTCCCCCGGATGAGCTGGCCCAAGTGACTGGAGAGAGAGGGAAGTCAGGGTCTGTCTGCTTAGGCTGCTGCCCCCGCGACCCGACCCTGGATAAGCGGCAGAAAATGGAGGGACGGAAATTATTAACAAATCGCTTTTAGTCTGAAAGCCCAATCTTGACCCCTCTAAACCCCTCATTAAACATCTTGTCATTGTGGCCAAATAGTTACATTTTAATAAGATAATAAATAACAAAATAAAAGAATAAAACTCTTCTCCAGAAGACATCTGGGTTGTCCATGTACGCAGCTGCAAATTTCAGTCAAGTCTCAAGGTGTTGGTTTGGAAGTATAGGTTTATATCTTGGAGGACCGTGACACTTAAGTTCCAGTAATTTGCAGTTCATTTCAAGTTTTAGCACTGGTGACTGATAACCAACTTTCCTTCCTTTTAGAGAGACAGATGAGTACTGGTTAGTCCAATAAGTGCAGTCAAACAAATTATTTTAGGCTAGCAAAGAAATACCAGCTGCAGTCAGTCATGAACTTTTCATTTTGCATTACCCTGACTGTAAAATTCCTCCTTTTGCTTTATTTTAGGCCACTGAGAAAAATCTGGACATCCATGGACGTCAAGCAAGTACAACAGAAACAATGCAGATCACTATTACTGATGTCAACGACAACCCGCCTGAGTTTTATGATTGCAGCGTCTCCTGTGTGAAAAAAAATGAGTTCACAGATGAAGTCTTTGAACACTTCAGTGGATCTATTTCCCTCAATATGACTGTCAAAGATCCTGACAAGGTGAGAAATAATCACAAGTGAAACATGTATAATTATTATTTCCCAAGTGACATTAACGAGTGAGGATTGGCTCTTCCTCCATTTTACAGTTTGTCAACACTAAACTAACGCTGGAAGGAGAGGACAAGGAAATATTTTCTGTGTATCCCTCAACCACAACATCAGACAGCCTTGTTCAGCTCCGTGTTATACAGCCCGCACATCTTGATTTTGAAGAAAAACAGCAAATGGTTCTTCAGGTAAAAAAAGAAAGAAAGAAAGAAAGAAAGAAAGAAAGAAAGAAAGAAAGAAATATACTTAGTAAAAAGAAATGAAAGCTTTTCTTTTTGTAGATTTTTCTTTGTTGTAACAATGCTTCTTGGCAAAAAAAATCTTTTACCAGACCTGATTGGCAGCACCTGGGGGTACCAGAACCTCCAAACAAGTTTTACCAGCAACAGCATAGCAGAGAAGATTTCGCAAATTTTTCATGTAAACAACCCATATACCCATCTCTACTGCTCGTCCCACAAATGCATGTTCCTTACAAATGTGGCACCCTTTGAACAGGAAATTAGGCTTTCCAACGATACAAGATTTATTTCCAAGAAGTGTTGTTTCAGGAAATAATCTACCAAACACTCATTTTCTAACTTTTTAGACTAAGTTTAGATCATTTAATTGTGATGTGACTTGAAAACTTAATTGCTACTTTATGTGACCTATGCTGTGTTGCAGATCATTGCTGAGGATATGGATGAACCCAGCTTCCGCACCACTGCTACAGTCACTATAAACATTAACGATGACAATGACAAGAGCCCCACCTTTCCAGAAACCACATATGAACTGGAGGTGCCTGAACACTCTCCTGACGGGACAATTCTGGCCAATATTACTGTGAGACTATTATTATCTCAAAAGTCAATCATACAATGTATAATACATACATAAAACGCAGTTTTTTTAAAAGTTTTCAAAAACTTTTATTTTTCAGGCAGAAGATCCTGACACAATGGATCAAGGCAAACTGACCTACAAACTTCTTCCAGAAAGCATGTATGTTTACACTTGATCATCACTGCAGTATTTCAGTTTATCTGAATTCATGGGGCTACTGTCTGCCTTCCACTTGATCTCTATGAACTATTTGATGTGTTCCAGATTGAAATTCTTTGATGTCGACCCAGTCTCTGGCACAGTCTTTGTGAAAAACGGGGCTGTGTTGGATCGTGAGAGCAGATCTCTGTTAACAGCCACTTTGGAGGCCAGAGACACAGCAAACAAGCCCGGCTCCACGGTACTGGAGATCACATTGACTGACATCAATGACCAGCCTCCAGTCATCAACAGAGTATCTTACCTGGAGAATGTTCAAGAGGGCAACACGTTTGCATACAGGATTGAGGTAAACAATAATCATTCCCTAACCACTTTCATTCAAGTTTCAATTCATGCATCATTTAAATAAAGTTATTGTAAGTATGCCATGTGCAAGTTAAATTTATTATATATTTATACTCCAAAAAAATATGTCAAGATTTGTTTGTTTATTGCACTTGGATCTTATATCACCATCTTTGCTTAGTGTAAAGTATCATGGACCAGTTTTGGGGCATGCCAATGTGTGACCAAGTGTGAAAATGGGTCATGTTGTGTTTATGTGCAACAATGACTGCAGAAACATGAAAAAAAGTTAGAATATATGAAATAATTAAAACTTCAGATTGTTGCACTGAGGCCCAGTGTTAGTGTAATACAGCAGATTTAGTTCTAAATACGTTGATGTAGTTTATGGAGATCTTGACTGTGTATCAATTTTGCTGCCTACAGAACATTTTAGCCACTTAATTTTACAAAAAAAAGATGGGAACGAGCTCTCTTAAAACTTGAACACATCTATAGAATTATATACAGTTTAGTAACGATAACATACAGCATGCAGATGACTACAGACCACAATAACAAATGCATTTAGCACCAATTAAAAAGCACATTCTTTAACCAATTAATATTTATGCCAAATATGATGTGCAGCCAAGAAGGTAGTTTATTCAACATTTAATGAATAATAGGTTGGCCTGCCTCAAGATTATATGTTAGCTAAATGTTTATCACTCAGCCACATTGGTCATATTGTTGTTAATATGATCACTGTATACAAATATATGCTCTGGCAATATATTTGATGTTATGGGATACTAATTATATAAGTAATTCATATATTATAGTGAAAATTATTGCGCAACAGCACAACTTTACCTTTTATTTGCATCTCCAGATTGCTATTTTAGACAATAATCCCAACATTTGAGCAGCATAACAGTTCTGGACAAGTTTGTCCTCCTTCTGATTAGAAATTGGTACATCACAAAGCAAAAAAAGCTCTTTAGGCTGTGTAATTGTCTATCATTTACTTCACAGTTGGTTGCCCCCAAACAATCTCACAAACCACTGCACACCATATCCAGTAGCCGACACTAAAAATATCTATGAAATGCTCCATTGCTCTATGTTGTCTTTCAATTTTCAAAACCAAAATTGAAATATTACTAAATTCAAATTTAGCAATTTTTAAATGCATCTGTAATAATTGAGCAAGCTGATTCAAAATAGTTTAAACAATGTTTTTTTTGTACAATGTTACAATCTCTATGACATTTTGAAAAGCCCTCTCAAATGAAGAGACTGCACTAATATTATTACATAATAGGGTTTTGATGCTGCTTCTTAGTTTCTGCTGTTTTCTGATTTGGACAGGCTACAGATAGAGATGACCCTGATACAGTAAACAGCCAGATCCTGTACAGTATAGAACCAAGCGTGTTCAGCAACAGCTTCACTATGGATGAAAACACGGGATGGCTGAGAAGCAAAGGTGAACTAGACCGGGAGGAGCTGGATCCAGAACTCGATGGCAGAATTGAACTCAATGTAACAGCCACCGATAAAGGAGTTCCCCCACTTTCCCACACCGTCCCTTTTGTCCTCACTGTGGGGGTAGGTCTTGTTGCAAATTCTGTGTACTACAACCCCTGGCAAAAAAATATGGAATCAGCAGTCTTGGATGAGCACTCATTCAGACATTGCATTGTGTAAAACAAACTCAGATCAAAAACATGATACAAAAATGTCATTCCAAAGTGCAACTTGTTGGCTTTCAGGAACACTCAAAGAAATGAAGAGAAAATATTGTGGAAGTCAGTGAATGTTACTTTTATTGACCAAGCACAGGGGAAAAAAATGGAATCACTCAATTCTGAGGAAAAAAGTATGGAATCACTCAAATTGGAGGTAGAAGATAAGGACACACCCAGTCAATATCCTTTCCCCAAATGGACACCTGCCTGAGATTAGATCTGCTCGTTAGTCTGCAGTTAAAAACACCTGAAGTCATGACACCTTGGAGGGCCAAAAAATGAAATAACCAGTATAGCTGAAGTGATTCCTGAATTAAAGATTAATATTTCAAAAAGAAGATCAAATTATTTGAGTTAATGTGCTATATTATTAGCTTTTGAATGGGTGGGGGATAATAATATAAATAAAATAATAATTTGCAGTGATTCATTTTCTGCATTGTTGAGTATTGAAAAAGGACATACAAATAATCATCAAAATTATATTATATGAAATTATGGCNCATTTTCTGCATTGTTGAGTATTGAAAAAGGACATACAAATAATCATCAAAATTATATTATATGAAATTATGGCTGTTTATCATAGGATATATGAACAAAACAAAAATAATATTATTCTGGACTCCTGCTCATGTAGGTATTTTGGGTAATGAAAGAGCAGATAGGTTGGAGAAGGAGGCTATAAAAAGAAGAAATTGATTTACCAGTAAAATTTTCTAAATCTGAAGGCAAAAGTATAGTTTGGAGAGGAAGCAAGAAGATATTTACATGGAAGATATTTATATAGGATGCAAAAGTTGATGTAGTAAGGATCAGAGGAAAAAAAAACAGGAGAGAGGAGATAATTATAAATAGAATAARAACCGGTCACAGTTTTTTTAAATGGAAATCTTTTTAAGATGGGGAAACGTGATGTATTTTGAATGGTCTTTTGTTTATCTGTTTTTCATGATCCCATGATTTTTTCCTCAGAATTGAGTGATTCCATTTTTTCCCTGTGCTTGGTGAATAAAAGTAACATTCACTGACTTCCACAATGTTTTCTCTTCATTTCTTTGAGTGTTCCTGAAAGCCAACAAGTTGCACTTTGGAATGACCTTATTATTGTATCATGTTTTTGATCTGAGTTTGTTTTGCAGAATGAAATGTCTGAATAAGTGCTCATCCAAGACTGGTGATTCCATACTTTTTTGCCAGGGGCTGTAGTCTAACAACTGATGAAAGCATTCCTTGCTGATCTTTTCCTCTCATACACCTCAGGATATCAACGACAACTTTCCAAAATTTGTAGCAGCTTCTTACGCCTTTTCTGTTAAAGAAGGCGAAAAAGGCAAGTAGTTTATATAATAAAACTTTTAATTGTTCAGGACTTTGTATCAGAGTTTATAATATACTAATTTGTCTTCTTTTTTTCTGATCAGGTGCATTTGTAGGTTTTGTTCATGCTGTGGATCTGGATCAAACAAACGCCTTCAATCGTATTTCTTTCAACATCATTAGTGGGGGCTTTGGCAGTTTTGGCGTTAGAGCCAGTGAAGCTGAAACAGGCATAGGCTATGTTGGGAGGATCGCCGTTGACCAGGACATTGAGCTGGACTTTGAGTCAGAACGCAAAATGTTTGAATTGCAAGTGGAGGCTACAGATCCAGACAGATACAAGGATACTGCGACGGTAACGGTGACTGTATTGGACGTGAACGATGAGAGGCCTGAGTTCTTGCCGATGGATCCTGTGAACATAAAAGAGAACACTACMATCAATGAGCCCATCGGAAAGTTCAAAGCACACGACAAAGATACCAATCATTCCCTGACCTACGAGCAGGAATCTGTCAATTGCAGGTGTAATAACACCATGAGATCCTGCGAATGGTTTATCCTTGACCCAAATGGAGACATTCGAGTCAACCCAAAAGAGAGAGTGGATTATGAAGAGTGTGACCAAGCAGTGGTTGAGGCTCAGGTGGTGGACGAATACACAGAGAAGGGAGAGAACAACAGCGTTAAAACAGGTCAGGACTTAGTTTGTAAAGCACAGAATAGCACTGAACTAAGACAGTAAATACAAATGAAGACATCTCACACACAAGCTGTTTTTCTTTTTTCTTTCAGGACAAATGGTGGTGTACATTGAAGACATCAATGACAACATTCCACAGTTTATTCATTCAGATGCTGTAAATGGTGTGTATTTATTTACCTGTTTTTTCATAAACAGAACAGAGATCTATTTCTTACAGTGTTTGCACAAAGACCACACCCATGACCATAATGCCATGTGGTTTTCTAACACATTCTCATGTCGGACTCGTAACATATTGCCACTTGGGCGCTCTGCACCCAAACGTCGACGCGGGGGGTACACCCGCGCGTCCGTCCTTGGCGCCCGCGGCTTTTCTAGGTTTGCGTGACGTCTGTGGTTAACATGAGGAATCAGGATTAATGTTTAACTTTAGGGTCTGTGGTTAACATGAGGTTAGGGGTTAGTGGTTAACTTTAGGGTCTGTGGTTAACATGAGGTTAGGGGTTAGTGGTTAACTTCAGGGTCTCTGGTTAACATGAGAGGTGTGGTTAACATGAGCGATCAGGGTTAATGGTTAACTTTAGGGTCTGTGGTTAACATGAGCGATCAGGGTTAATGGTTAACTTAAGAGTCTGTGGTTAGGGTTAGGCTCTATAAGGCTAGTAGAAGTTAAATTTAGGGTCTAGGATGGTTAGTTTCATGCAATTCGWGTCTTGTAAAAACACATTGTCCTCCTCCGCTCCATCTCGTACAGCACGGACGCGTGGGGGGTACCCCTGGCGTCAACGTAATGATGCTTGGTCAAGCGTCAATACCTTGATGCAAATGGGCATCAAGGTATGGGCTCGATTCTCAAATGTTGCCAGAAACAATGTGAACCAGATAGAGTTGAATAAATTTCATAATAAGAACAAAATTTAGCAAGCCGCAAAACATTCCTTTTGATTTTTTTAGTAACTCAGACTTGTAGGATGAAGGGGTCTTTGAGAGGATATGGATCTTGACAATTAGTTTGTTTCATAGAGTCATTCAATTTAGTTGTTCGATTCTGAACAAGTTGCATCATCATGTAGGGTTGGGTTATACGCCATTGCATCACATGGGCAGAACCATTGTTTTAAGAGGAACCCCTCTAACCCCTTCCCCCTGAGCAAACGTCACATCTCTCTACAGATTTCTAGCAGAAYACATTTAGCTAAAGACAGTTTGTTTTATACATAGTTCTCACAGACATAAACATCCAGGCACATTATTTTGGCCGACGCCATCTTTGTAGGTTAGCATTTGGCTTGTAGCATGAAATGATTGAAACAGAAAAGCAAGCAACAAACAAAACTAGAGAAAAAAAGCCGTCAGACGAGGCAGACATGTGACCAGGACACACTGGATGAGCCATTTGCTAAAAGAAATGTTTAAAATAAATGTTGTTGATTAGATTTAAGAAAAGGTCCTCAGACTGACTAGAAGATCTGTTTGAAATTTAGAAAATCAAGTTGTATATGTACACCGATTGTTTAAAAATAACTCTTTAAAAATTAWAATGAAAAGCAAATGAAAAAATACAAGTTTACGTTGTCACTTTGAGCGTTAACACAAATTCAACACCAAATTTTCTTCCTTTTTATTTAGTTGTGGTGGCTGAAGGTTCAAATAAAGGGACCTCGGTGGCACAAGTCACAGTGAGTATGACAAAAACTGACTGCAGACATGATGCAACATTTCTCATCAATGAACTGAAAATATGTCTTTTTCTATTACCAGGCTTCAGATAGGGACTCTGGAAAACACAGCGAGATAGTGTTTAAAATACAAAAAGTCCAGTTTGAACACACCAATAATCAAACAGAAACCCTCGAGATCAAGTTTGAAGTTGTCACTACTCAACAAGGTGCCAATTACATTGGACTTATTCAGTAAGTAATTACTTTTTACAGCTAAAAGATTTAGTCTTAAAATTTGAGGTTTTATGCATTATAAATATAATGGGGAGCTAATTTTCATGTAATACGTGTATTGCTTCACAATTGATATTTTTCACTTCCCACAGGTCCTCCGAAGGCCTCGATACAACCCTGAGAGGAAAGTATTTGGTAACAGTGACAGCAACTGATACTGGAGGCCTTGAGTCCTCCACTGTAGTAGAGGTGAAGCACTGGTTGATATTTTTATTTAAAAAACAGACATGCACAGATAGATGTTTAAAAAGTGCAACTTATGTTAATTGCTTATGTGCTTCTCGTTGTTGCAGATATTCACAGTTGATGACACCTACAAAGTTATACTTGAGTTTGAACGGTCAGAAGCCCATGTCCAAGAAAACAAAGAGGAGATCAGGAGGTG